ATATAGACGTTCACGATGAAGTTACGCTGTTGCGTTTTTTTTTCTTCTATATTTAGACTCCCATAATGTCTAGTATAGTAGTTCTCGTATCATCATTTAAACTTAGCCTATCGTATTTTTTTTTATTTGATGGAGGTTGTTTGAATTGGTGATGCCGGGATGGGCGAGAACTAGCTAATAAACCTTGTGTTTGATACCCTAAAATACAACGAAAAAACCTCTGTAGAAAGTACATAATTCTACGAGGTATCTCCATGATATAATTAGGACCTACACTATTGTGTTAATTGTCTACCGCCTTGGTGTCTTGATTTAAGATCTGCATGTATAAAACATGAGATAACACAAAATTGCAAATCCCGACTTTTTATAGTAGGCAAAAGAATCTTAGTCTCATTTTTATAAGCATGTTTTTAAAACCTAACATAAATTAATGTTGAAGAATCATACAGATAAATGGAAACAATGGCTTACCTTTGAGATACTGTTGTATTGATGTTTGTCGAAAGATAATGAACATTTCCTTGTATCGGCATTTTATTCGCCATTGTATCAATGCGTCGACCAATGGAATGCCATTATTATAGCAATAAACGATTGCTTAATTAATTTGCCAATTAAACATCGTAATGGTATCATAAATTTACAACACACCAAAATAATATCAAATTATTCTTTTTTTGATGGTTAATGGTTATTAATTTATAGAGTGCAAAATACAAAAAGTCTCTAAGCGCCATCAGGCAAGTGTAAAGATGGAACGGAAACCAAAACCACAAAATAAAAAGAAGTGAAATTTGAATACCATGCCAGCACCCAAACCGAAGTATGGGGATACGCCCTCATCGCTGGCTAGGGTTCAATCTAATTGAACTACAGTCAGCACCTGTTGAGTCTCGGCCATCTCAGATTCGGGCGCCTCCTATCCTAGTTAAAGCCATAAAAGCTAGCTGGCATGGAAATAGAAAAAATAATATTAAATAAAATAAATTAAAGGGACGAGAATAAGTGGGTCTTAAGTCGTTCTTTGAAAATGGTGACAGAAGGTGACTCACGAACAAATAAAGGTAACAAGTTCCACAACTTGGGCCCAGCAACCATAAACAATCGCTCTACACGATCCCCCTAAAGTTAATTAATTTAGATTAGGGTGTCCTCTACACTGTGCAACAATCGGACGTGCCTGAAATTGTGGCACAATGTGGACTTCATTCCACCATATCCGATATTCCCTTTAATCGCCGATATTCTAACACATATTGTGTTGATCTAAAGGTAGTCCCATATTCATATTGAACTTGGGGAACGAGCTGTTAGCCCATCGTACTAAGCCTCCGGGATTATGTGGTAGGGTGGCCAGTTCCTTTCCACGCCGCCTTTTTCTCCCCAGTAGTGAACCACCAGGTACCAATTTATACTCCTGGGTAAGTTTATCAAACGTTGATAAAGTGCCTTGCCCAGGGACACAAGTGACCATGTGACCACTCACAATTTTTGATGTACCCAATGCCTGGGTCGAAATTACCCAAGATTCAGCAAAAATTGCCCAAAATTACCCAAGCTTCCTGAAAATGCATTAAAATTTGAAAAATATGTGTTTTTCGCATG